AAAAAAAAAAAAAAAAAAAAAAAAAAAAAAAAAAAAAAAAAAAAAAAGAGAATCAAAGGTTTAGGTTATCGAAAGCCTTCGGCCTTTCGTGGTTTACAATTAGGAGGTCTGCTGACGGTGGGCCACGCCACTGTTGGGAAGTTCTGCTCTTTTTATTGCTTCGTTTTGTTCCGGTGGCGGGGTCGTGTGGCTCAGACATTACGAGTGCACAGCAGTCATGTGACCGCATTGTTAGCACACAGGCAGCAGGAAAAGAAAACAAAAGGATTGCACAGAAGCACTTATTGAAATGTATCTGACTGCAATTTTGGCCACGTGCGGATGGGCCTGATTGCAATCAGGCCTGGAGGTGAAGGTGAAAAAAACACAATTCCAGCAGGTGTGGATGCACCTGATTGCAATCACACCCGGAGGTAAAGGTGAAAACGTCATAGTGTGAGCATGCCCTTTTTTCTGTTTGTGTTTGGCCAAGCCTTGATTTGCAGGCAGCGGATCTTTTTCCCCATTTTCTCGTTTTCTGGTTGCCGTGATTTGCTGGCGGCGGATCATTTCTCTGCTTTTGTCGTTTTCTGGCTGCAAGCAGGTGCCGGGTTTCGTGGGGATCAGGGCATACTCGTACGAGGATTTTCACAACTTAATTGTGGACACAATTGCCATCAGGTGCATCCAGCAAAGCCCTTGTGTGATTATTTCCAGTTGTTTGAATACAAGTCCAGAGCAGCCCGGTGCACCTGAAAAAGGGACGTGAGACCGTCAGGACACAGGTCATGAACTCGGAGCAGCCGTAAAAGCCAGCAAAAAGATCTCAGAGTAGAAGTACTTGATCTCCTGTCCATATTTCAGCAGTTGGGGTTTTGGGGTGTACCATTCAGTCAGATAGGTATGGATAGGTATGGATTTTCTCCCTTTTTTGTTTCGTTTTATGGGGGGGTAGTTTGGACGGCCCTGTTTCTTTCTTTTGGGGGTTAGTTAGGACCAACCAGCCCACGTAGCATTGCTCACCTACCCAGCGTGGTACCAGCCAACCTACATAATGCCATCCGGTCCACATGCTATGACCCAGCCCACGGTGTACCACGCAACCCAAATGGTATCACCTGGGCCACATAATACTACCGCCCACCCCACATAGTATCACCAACCCCACTTGGGTATCACCTAGGCCACGTAATGCCACGTTGCCCACCTAGGATCACCAAATGCACATAGTATGACCTGCCCCACATACTACTGCCCAATCCACATGCCTTATAGTACCGCCTGGTCCACATGGTATGACCTGCTCCACGTGGTACGACCCAATCCGCATAGTATCAAACATGAAATCCGCTACAGAACCCCTTTTCACCCCACGGTTGACCCCCTCTTGAAACTCGAGCTCAGATTTCGGCACCATTTGACATATGTGTAATGTCAGGGGAGAGAGAGAGAGAGAGAGAGAGAGAGAGAGA